AGAAAGGGAAATTAAAGTGATCTATGCATGCAAATGAATAGAACTGCAAAAGCAACAAGAAGAAAGAAAAAATTGGAGAAAATTATCTTTGTTTAGAATTAAGTGAGCCCATCTTAGAATCTTCACCACCACAACATTAACTGCATAAACTAACACAAACGCACACCCTGCATCACTTAAAATGACAAGTTCCACAGTTCTTGGAGGCAAGAACAACATATCCTAATAATATCATAGAACCCAGAGTCAATCTTGTACTTTACTTTCCTCTACCATTACCATATCATGACTCATTTGTTAACAGTGTTTCTCACTCCTTATTAAAAAGAAGTAATAACATGCATTATCTCAAACTTTCCAGACACTTTCAGCTGATGACGAACCAACCCAGAACGGTTGTAGTTTACAAGAAAACGAAATCTTTACAGACAAAAAAAAGCAAACAAAATAAGAAGCAGGAGGATAGAACGTACTGATCTCTGAGCATCCCATGCGAGCCAAACGGTGGAGAAATGACCCCAACCGAGCTTGCTCTGCACCACATAGCGATCGTTCTTGAAGGTGTCCCCAATACGCACTGCGTGGTACCCTCCTCTCCTGTAATCTTCAGTCCCCTCATCCTCCGACGAATAATCACTCACCTCACTTCGATCTCCATTCTTATCCTCCGCCATTGAAACACAGAATAAGAATTACACACACAGAATTTTAGCAAACTGGGTATTGAAGTCACCGCTTTTTATTGCGAGAATGGATTTCTTGTCTCAATTCGACAAAACCCTAATGTAGATTTGCTCCGTTGAAGAGCCCCAACAGAAAAAGAAGAAAAATTTTATTTCCCCAAGAAAGGGTGACACGATTGATGAATCTAAGAAGATTCTAGAATCAAAATTGGCGGCTTGGAAAGACAAAGTGTTGTTGTTAGGTTGGTGGTTCCAAGGTTACAGTGGGGGTGTGACGATTAGGGTTTTTGAGGGCTAGGGACTTTGCCGGGAAATTAAAGAAGTTGTATTCTAAGGGAAAATTTACATAAAATCCACCATACTCTGCATAAAATGTCAATATAACCTCTACAGTTTTAAAACTTTCAAGTTTTATCTCTTAATTTGCTTTTCCTTACAATTCAACCCTTCCGTTCTCTTTTTTTTTTTTCTTTCTTTCTTTTTATACATTTAATAATAAATTATATAATAAAAACTAAATCATCTCCTTTTAAACTCCTTACCACCCATCCAAAATTGAAATCTAAAATTTTTTAATATAAATATTTAAATTCTTATTAACTAATGGGGTTATTAAGAGGCCCTACCTTCGGTTCTTACGCCGTTAAAGAAAGCTGTAAAACCGTTTGCACTAATTTACCTGCATACGGGCCGCCGGCCGAAAAAGTCAGCCTCTAGGGGGTCCAGGCTTCACTTGTCAGATCTGGACACTGTATCCTAATTGTCCCCAAAGCCCAATCTATAAAAGTTGTGTGTTCAAATCAGCCCAACAATCTAACAATGGAAGATGAAAAGCTCTTTCTTAAGTCAGTTGTCTCGTCGCAATTATGGTCTTTGTTCCATCACCTCACTTACGCAGCAGCCGGTCTGTCCCAGTGGCGTGTCATGCCACTCATAATCAAGGCTTTAATTAGATTCGACATTTTACTCTCTCCAGGCTTCAGGGGATTTAGTGGATTGATTACGGGTGCAAGGCCACACACAGGTTGTCGTTTATGGTCACGGTCTCCTACACTTTTGTTTAAGAGAATGTTTAG